CAAACAAACAAACTAGTCTGTATACTGGCCATGTTTCTATGTGAGTCTGTATACAGACGATGTTTCTATGTAAATATGTACGCAGGTGATGTTTCTATCGTCTGTATAACAGATACTTTTTGTATCTGAGTCTGTATAACAGATGATGTTTCTACGAGAGTTTCTATACATGTAATAATATTTTATGTGCCTGTATACAGATAATGCTTCTGTATTATTGTGTGTAACACGTGATATTTCTATGTGAGTCTGCACAGAACTGATGACTCTATGTGAGAAAGTGTACAGACTGTGTTAAAATTCGTATAGATCTAAGAATGATGCTATTTTTCACTGTAACACTAACTTTCTTTTTACCACATATCCGCCCCTAGAAGGGCCAACACTTAGTTCCACCTTAGTTTTCCAAGTAACCATCTTTAGAGAATGCCCAACACTTAATTCCACCTTAGTTTTTCAAGTAACCATCTCTCTAGAAAGCCCAACACTTAGTTCCACCTTCGCTTTCCGTGTAACCATCTCTGGAGAAGGCCCAACTCTTAGTTCCACCTTAGCTTTTCCGTGTAACCATCTCTGGAGAAGGCCCAACTCTTAGTTCCACCTTAGTTTTTCCATGTAACCATCTCTGGAGAAGGGCCAACACTTAGTTCCATCTTAGTTTTCCAAGTAACCATCTTTGGAGAAGGGCCAACACTTAGTTCCATCTTAGTTTTCCAAGTAACCATCTCTAGAGAATAGAGAAGGCCCAACACTTAGTTCCACCTGGACTACAATAAGTACAACATGAGATTCTTTTATACATTACTAACGCCAGAACGGAAAAGGAAAAAATATTTGTTTTATGTTTACAAAGGTTGCCTGCGCATAGTTGTCTGTAATTCCGAATAGACGGACTAGAGTAAAGGCAATTAATTAACAATACCCATCGCCTACTCTTATGCTACCCTTTACTGTCTCAATAGAGAGAGAGTTAACCGCCATTATTATAGTGCATTTATGGTGGAGTGCGATTTTGCGGCAGTGGGACGTGAGCCATGAACCCTTGAATGAACAGTTGAGGCACCTTAACCACTAGGCTACACTCGCCCTAATACGGATGATAAAAATTATATCTGTTCAAAGATTACTTTATTCCCAGGTTATACGGGTCAGTAAGTGAGCGCTCTACCAATCATTCTGCGTCAAACTGCTATTTATAACATAATTACTGGGATCCTCTCTCTCGTTATATCGCATAATGATTCTGCGTCAAATTATTATCTATAACATATTTACTGGGTTCCTTCCCCCAGAATAACGCATAAATTTTCTGCCTCAAACTTCTATCTAAAACATAATTATTGGGGTACCATCCCCCAGAATATTGCATAATTCTTCTGAGCCAAATTACTATCTATAACATATTTACTGGGGTTCCCTTCCTCAGAATAACGAATAATTCTTCTGTGACAAACTACTATCTATAATATAATTACTGGGGTTCCCTTCCTTAGAATAACGAATAATTCTTCTGTGACAAACTACTATCTATAATATAATTACTGGGGTTCCCTCTTACGGAATACCGCAATAAATAGTGACATTTTTTCGCATGAAAAATTTAGAAGGAAAATGGAACCTACCCTGTTTCCGATTGCAGCTGTTCCAGACAGCAGAAGGTTTAATACTCCGTTATTTAATACAATTTAAGAGGAATGATTTTTCTCTCTTTTTTTGGAGCTAATGCAATGTTCTTTCGACAGAAAATGATTCGATTGATCACTCAAACGTCTGGATGTATATACAGAGTTGTTGTTTTTTTCACAAACTTTTCTTTTCTAAACTTTTGTGTTCTGAAATAAGAAATCGACATTTTAGTGCAACGAAGATTTTTTTTTCATAGTCTAGAAAAGTTCCACAACTATAGCGTTTTTCTCTGTTCTTGTGTATGAAAACAAAAATTTTGTGAAACTAACTCAATTCAGTCAGAATGGTAATCCTTTAGAAATTTTATTATGAACGGAACCTTTAATTTTGTCGACGAAGAAATTATCGCTATTTCAACTTTTAATTTACAAGGAAATAATCCGTTTTTCGACAAAACCTATCACGCCGACGTTCATCCTCTAAAAAAAAAACAACGACAAAAAAACACGAAATGTTTCTTTCATCTTTCTCAGCTTTTTTTTCTCTCGGGTTTGAAGACCTAAAAAAACCATTTCTTATACGATTGTCCCCGACAACCGCCGGAGCTCAGAGGTGAAAGATTTAATTAACACAGAAATGTAAAGTTATCTTGCAGTCTCATTCAGCTCCCCCACCCACATTACTACCCCTCAGGAACCACTGCTGCTTGTCTCCTTTCTTGGAAGGTGTGAAACCATAATTTAATCAACAGTCTGAAAGAATTAATTAAAAACTCCTCCAGGGCTATTAGAGAATAAATCGTTATGCGACGTAAGAAAAGACAGTTTCAGATCTATTGGTTGTCGTCTAAAGACGGTTGGTTTGTATGATCTGCTCGGGGCCATGAACAGTACGGTTGCACGAATCGTATCAATCAGAAGAAACGTGTAATCTGGTCTGTTGTAATTTTTGTCATTTCACTCGCACATCTCGAGTTTCTTCATTTCAAATGGTGATTTTCAATTTTCTAATTTAAATTAAATATATATATTTCTATTAAAATATTTCCCAAACTTTTTAAGTGATTTTTTTTTCTAAAACGAACAAAAAAATCAAATTAACTTTGCCTCAAATCATTAAAAGGAGTTACGAATCCACTTTCAGCCCCCTTAAAAAAGCAAAATGTCTGGAACTTTGTGAATGCATATCATATTGTTTGTGACTACCAAAGAGAAGGTAAGTGTCTTGTGTTGGAATAATTATTTTTTGTAGTGACATTAGAAATACAGGGTGTTTCGAAGACCACGTGTTATTGTAAATGCTTCAGGTATTTCTGGATAACGTAAAATTTAATTTTTTTTTCATGTCTGGTATAGAGTTTCTGAAGAAAAAAGGCTTACTAAATTCTTTATTTAAATAATTATAATGCTGTAGATTAATTTCACATTAAAATATGCATGAAGATGACAATTTCTTGTTTATGCAGAAATTGGAGAAACGCCAGATGAAACTGACCGTTTTTTTGTCCTTAATTAATTCTAATAAACTAGCTTTCACACACTTATGCTAGTGCCAGGTTAGTAACGAAATGGAACGTTAATTCAAATAAACTAGCTTTCACACACTTATGTTAGTGCCAGGTTAGTAACGAAACTGGAAATTAATTATAATAAACTAGCTTTCA